AGAGTCACTAGAAAAATATCCTGAAATAAATACATCCATGCGTCTGATTGCATCTGCTCTATCTAAAGCATTTTCGAATATATCAGAATTATTTTGCGCCGATCGAAAACGCATCTCACAATAAGATACATATTACAACACAAATTACAACATATAAGATATAAAGAGATAAAAAATCTATTGGCACAGGTGTATTTTAGCATTTTTATCATAGTTCTTTTTTCTCGTTTATTATATAATAAAGAGAGCCTTGTTATATTTATTTTATTTGTTAAAAATATCGTTTCATTGAACAAATTATTTCTATAATAATAACAAAGTATTGTAATTCTTGAGAGAGATGATTCCGTGCAAAATATATTAAGAACTACTTTGCTTTAGCAGCAAGTTCGTTTTTCTACAAACGAGTTTAACAACATTTCTCTATCCATCAATCTTCAAATAGATTTTGCTTTGTAATATTGAATAATTAATTACGATAGCGAGATCTCTCGTCATTTTTTTTCACGCGATAGTAATATTTTTTTCTCCATAAAATTTTATTTATTTCGTTTTTTTTTTTTTTTTTTCTATTGTCTTTATTATCTCACATTGTTACGTAAATTATCTATCCAATTAGTTATCCAGTGTATAAATCATTTTTATTACCTGTTGCAGTTGACGCACCCCGATATATCTCCGTTCGGTTGTCTAAAATGGTGAACCCACTCTTTCGTGCTCCTCAACGACGCCCTTTGCGGAAGCTGCGGTGGAACTTCAGAGATGCAACGGCGGGCAACAGGTCATCGGTGAGTAGGAGCACATTGCACAATTTCGCGCACAAATGCAGAATCACGTGTCCCGCAACACAGTGCCGTGTACGGAATAATCAGATGGATTCAATACGGATCTCCCACCGCTTTCCGCAACTTTTCAATCTATGTCCCCCTCCCCACTCATTTCTGCCTTCCTCTTTCTTCGTTCCATCTTCTTTGCACGATCTATTTAGGCTGCCGTTGTACAGGCGATCTCTTTTCATCCCCTATTTCCACCCCCTCCCCTCCTTCTTCCTTATACCTCTATGATCAGGGCCGGTTTTACATTAAGCACTTATAAAACATCTCAAGAATCGAAGTATAAGAAATGAAGAACTTCCTTAGACAAAATTGTCTGCGAATTAATTTGTCTAAAAATTTATCATTATAAATTTTGCACTAATAAAATGTGAATATATTCTGTATAAAAAATATATATAAATTATCCGCATAATTATAACACATTTTTCTAAATAATATTTAATTTTTCAAACTTATGTTCCTTATTTTCATATCTTATCTTTAATAATAGATGTTTTTAAAAATAATAAAACTTTTCTGCGGAAAAATATTAAATAAATTCACAAATTTAAATTAAACGTCTGACATTTAAAAAAAGAATACCTGCTGACATATAATTATAAATAATTATTTATTCCAATAATGTCTAACGAAAAACGTCTGGGGTTCGTCAATACCGAGGTCCGATCCTGTCTGCAATCTATTTCATCTTCTCATAGCTGTTAGCTAATAAGATCCTTTTAAGGACACTGTTTCGTGCGGCTCTATTATGGAATACGGTTATAATTGTCCTGCCGGTTAGCTATTCCAGTTAATTAGATTGAGTCGTCGAGGCAATGCTTTTGCGCTACAACAATCGCAAATTGATATTGCATTTAATCGAAAGATACGATTTAAACTCGTCCCGGCCTTCACTGGCCATTTCTTCGCTCGCGATTAATCTTCCGCAAATACCATACATTTTAAAACTAATATTAAATTTTTTGTGCAACCTCCTCCCCATACATGAAATTTATATAAATTCATCATTTCATATCACATTTTTATAATTTCTTGTATACTCCTATAATTAAAATTGAAGGCAATATTTTGAAAGTAGATCTTTTTTTTTTATTTTTTTGAAGTCCAAAAAACAAATTTTTTATTTTATATTTAATTTTTTATGTTTATATAACTTACATAATAAATTTTAAACGCGAGAGCAATCGATAAGAATCGATAAGAATTTGAACTTCAATCGATCTGTCGACAAATATAGTATCCGCGTTAAAAAAAAAAAAAAAAAAAAAAAAAATACGAGACATTTCGCGATATCACTGTGTCCCTCTTTCACAATTCCTCTTTCTAACTATACAAGTATTTGATCATCGACCTCTATATGTTACCAAAATTAATACTGTGATTAAGCACGCCGCCGGGACGAGGTAGGAGCGGAGGATGCTTTGGAACTTTGGAGGATGCAGCAGAAGTGTTACAACAGGTGAATCGCGACACACACGGGTAGCACACACGTTCACATTGACTCGGCACGAATGTACTGTGTTGTGTGTGCGAGAGACACACTCGGGATCAATCTGCGAACGAGAAAGCACGTGCGCGAGTACCAATCGCAAGTATGCGCGCGGCTTTTCTCCCTCTAAGGGTGGCAGATGACGGAATCGAACGGGGCTTTCAAGTACAAAATCGAAGGATATTCTTTCGATCAGAGATTGGTGTTATTCCAATAAATAATGCTAATTTTATTTATTTTTTTTTTTTTTAATAAAATTTATTTCGCACTATTAGTTACGCGGATGTTATTTCCTAATAACGTTGTTCCTCATTTACAGATATTTCTCAAACAAATAATAATAAGTTGTTACATCGTCTCTTAATTAAACAAGAAATAATGTATAATTTTTTAAAATAAAATCTAATTAATTAAAATATACGATATTAATATATTTGATTATTAATTAAAATAAGACAACGAATAATGTAAAGGATATTCTTTCGATCCAGAGATTGGTGTTATTCGAATAAATAATACTAATTTTATTTAACTTTTTTGAATAAAATTTAATTCGCACTATTAATTACGCGGATATTATTTGATGATAACGTTGTTCCTCATTTACAAATATTTCTCAAACAAATAATAATAAGTTGTTACATCGTCTCTTAAATAAACAAGAAATAATGTATAATTTTTTTAAATAAAATCCAATTAATTAATATACGATATTAATATATTTTATTATTAATTAAAATAAGACAATTAACGTATAAATAATAACGAATATGTTGTATTTGTAAGTGTATTTTGTACAAATAATAATTCTTTATACGAATATATAACATTTTTAATATTAGATAAAATGTTGTTAATCTTCTATATCGGACAAACTTTTTTTTCGTCAATAAAGCGTCAAGATATACAGAAAGTTTTGTAATTTTACCGCATATGTCCCTGATATATATATCGCGTATTTCTCTCAAATATCATGATAATTCTGAAACAGTGTGGCGCACGTGATTATTATTACTTGCACAATTGCAAGTTATTTTCAAAATAAATTTGTAAAAATTAGAAAATTAAATTTATATATGTATGCTATTAAAACCGCCTCGTAAATAATCATTTCCTCCTGTAGAAACGAAAATTTTACATGTATACAATAGAACTTCATCATTAATGAAAAAAAAAAAAAATTATTTTAGTATTATTTTATATTATTTTACAAGTAATTTTTATAATAAATAGCACAAAAAAATATTTTGTTTTGTAATCGCGGAACAATATTCAGTTTTGTGATCATGTACTAGTATTTCAGTGAAAGCATAATCGATATATTTTCCAGGGAACTAGATAACATCAAAGATGTTAAGTATCCGTTATACTCACTAAAAGCAGTTTGTGAAATAATGATTTCGTGACTAGATACCATAATGGAACCATTTGTCATAATCTTAAAACCCTTAAAATGAGAGTCGATATCTTATTTTTATTGTATAGATTTTTAGATAGAATTTTAATATCTTCTATAGAAGAGAAAAGCGAATTAGAAGAAAGGGCAAAAATCCATTTTTATGATCCAATTGTCTGATTCTATGATTATTAAAATCAGAAATTGATTTGACAATTGTTTCTATAGGACATATAGTTAGCAATTGTTACTATTGTTGTTACAACTTATTATTTTTCATATTTTACTTACTTATTGTGCGTGCAATATTTCCAATTTATTCAAAAAATGAAATAAATTGATCTTTTCTCGGTTTCGTTAATATAGAAGTGCAATTCGCAAAATATATTTGATTTGAAATATATTTGAAAATTGTTTTTTTTTTTATAAAATCACACAACATAGCACTGTGTTCCGGTTTCACCGATCTTTTTCACAATTTCTCTTATCATTTATATCGTTTCACTGATCAATCTTCGACGATTATCAATGAATACAATAATTATTTTTTATTTATCCTTAACTTTATTCACTTTGATATTACTCACATTTATTATATATAACTTTTTACTCTTTATTTTATCATTTATTTATCATTATTTATTATAAACACATGTACTGGATTGAAATTAATTTTTTTATTATTATGCAGAATATTTGAATAATTAACAATATAATTTTTTATATTTATGAATTCGATTCGAATCGTCGAGCAATCTTCGAAGCGGATGTATATATACTTGTAATTAATTTCGTGCAATATCAATTTATTTAGAATTAATATCATCTCAGCAAATATATGTCGTCGTCATGATTAAAAAGTTTGACGAACACAACAATTGTGAAATCGAGATCGATGTTTCTGTCTGGCGAACGGCGATGCTACTGATCGAAAATGTGCTATGTTGTCGAACAAAGCCGGCGTTTCCTGCTGTTCAACGTTAACGCGTTGCGTTACGCGCGTCAATAAGACAATAAGCTGTTACTCCGATTGATTACTAATGGATTAATGAATTGTATTAACTGCCGTCGTGGTTCCTTCTCAGCTAAAAAAAATTATGCACGACACACTCTCTTAATTATTATAATTATTACTTGTTTATTTCTTAATAAATAAGTATAAGCAAATTAATAAATATATATAAGCAAATATAAAATTTACTTTAATTCTTCTTTATTTTACTAATGTATTTTTCTTTTTTTCTTATCTGTTATAAATGTGTATATCATTCTATCTGATGTTTTCTTAGAATAAAGGATGCTTCACCTCAAGTAGAGTGAGCGATTTCAGAAGAATCCAAATGTGAAATAAAACGCTCTCAACATTCGTACCGAGGAGATGAGTCAACGTGTGAGCATTTGATCTAAAAATGCTTTAGAAATTAATTTTAATAAACCGTGTGCAAAAATGAAAAGTTTTGTATTGTACGATCAAAAACTGCTTTATGCTATTTTGTGAATCTGTGTGTATGGTGTGTGGTATGTGTGTGTGTGTGTGTGTGTGTGCGTGTGTGTGGTGTGTATATGTGTATATATAGATGTATATAAGTATAGGTTGTGATGATGACATATTAAATAATCATTTACATACGTATAATCTCATTCATATATAACGTACTGCCAATTAAAACAGAACACATCCTGTATGCGTGGTGCAAATAGATCTTTACAGGAGGTTCCATAAAGCAATTTCTTCTTCTACGAATTTGAATGGACCCACGTGGCCCTCACTGACCATAGGGAAGGGTTGGTCAAATTTAGCCGGCCATCAACAGACTCCATAAAACGAAAGTGAACCTAGATGACGTCCCTATATCTTTTTCTTAGCCCATAGAGTACGGATTGAAGATTGATCTCGCATCGAGATTCCAATTGGCCAATCGGGACCAATTGGGACTTCGGGACAAAGAAATCTCTGTTCCGATTGGTCAATTTCCGTGGAAAGAATCTCAATAAAATTTCGCAGTCTTCAATGCTCGTGCGCGTGGACTTAATGACATTTCCTAGGAAAATT